AAGATCAGACTGACCGCCAGAAAGGGGCGGGACTGATCGCCGCTCCGGAGCAGCGGGCGGCGCGGCCATTGGCTGGGTCTCGCAGCGAAGTTCCTGCCATGGTATTGTCCACGATCGCTCACAAATGCTCAGAGAAATAGTGACCGTTCCGTGGAACGGTTTCTACACGATATCTGTCAGCGTGACTGGGTTCAACGTCAACACCGACTACCCGGGCCGGGCCGTTGACGGCTGGTGGCCGACATATAGGTGCGCTCTAGCGTAGAAAGAGCGATGTGCAAAATGGGCGTCAGTTGTGTAACGTATAGAGCACTCTTTCCCTGAACGAATGAAGTGCGGGTTCTAGTCCCGCCTGACGCAAAGTTTTGCACATCACTCTACATCAATGACAACATACCACCGCTAGAGCTGTTAAACAATAAGAATTTCTATAAACCTAATGATGAAGAGTGGTGCGCAAAAACGTTTTTGTCAGCCGGGATTTGAACTGATCCTATTCTTTCCGGGAGTATATGCTAACCCACTGCACCACCGACGCTCGTTTTGAACTCTACTCTTTCTACTCTACAACGCGCTACCTGTCAGCAGTCAACCGTCTACGGTGTGGCGGGGCAGTCATCGACATCAAACCCACTTTTGTGAACAGATAATTGGTTCAATAATCAATCCGAAGTCATATTATTTGACGTCCTACTGCGGTGTTATATTTTTACGTTTTACTATAATACGTTTTTGCACACCACTATACATCATTCGTTTTATAGAGACATCGTAACACCGCAACAGGCGGTCAAATAGAAAAGAATTTTATTTGAACTTTAATACCCGATATCTCTCATCGTGACTGGGTTCAACGTCAAGACCGACTACCCGGGCCAGGCCGTTGACGGCTGGCCGATGACAGATAGGAGCGCTGTAGCGTAGAAAGAGCGATGTGCAAAATGGGCGTCAGTAGTGTAACTAATAGAGCACTCATTCCCGGAACGAATGAAGTGCGGGTTCTAGTCCCGCCTGACGCAAAACCTTTGCACATCATTCTACATCAAAGTGTGAGACACCCACCTGTGGCCGGTGCAGTTTCGCCAGCAAACCCGGGAGACTGCTGCTTACAATCAGCGCTTCCACTCGACGTGCGAGCGAACTCGTTGATAGGTGCCATTTCTGAACAAAGTGTGTGAACCCGTTGTTCAAAAGGTTCATATTCTTGAGTGGCCTTGGGTGACGACCGCACACGATAGACCTTCCCTCCAGTCGACATGCGTGCGGTCTTCTTCTTGGCTGGCTTTCCTAAACGAGAGTGGTTTTTTTATCGAAACAAGCCCGCTAGTAACACAAAGTCTAAGCAAACTGACCCTATGCACGATGCGCGTCGAGTGTGGAACCTAATATTTTTTCGACTGTGGCAACGAACTGAGAATGTCTTTTCGGAAACCAAGTACATCCTTAAAATCAGCGAGATTTAGGCCATCAAATGGTTACCGAAAGTCTGAGAAAGAGGCTCTCTTAAGCGAAAAATGCCTGAGTGTGAATTGTAATTTTGTTTTTACTATCAAAGTGCTCTAAATTTATTTTAAAATTATCAAGTGCACCTTGGAATTGTTGAGGTTTAAACTATCGAACGACTAAACTCTAGAACAGTAGAAAATGAGGTTTTTTTGAAGAGCCGGAAATTTGAATAGGAGAGAGAAAAGTACCATGTTTTGTTTCTAAAAACCCTCTCTTATTGCGTTGTAGCAGTGGAAATATTACGTTTAGCCCTCGCTTGCATTGTTTGCTCAGCTGGAGTTTGGAGGTGACTTTTTTGCTGGACCTTTGGTACTTATCCGATGGCTCAAATCTCTAGAGTTTGGAGATCAAGTTTCTTATCTAAGGGGATTTCCATTGATCGCTAAAAGTGCAGAAAGAATATTACGCTTCAAACTCAGAGCTCTCTTTGTCAGTAAAAGTTATATATGCACTAAAAACATATGATTATGTGGAGAAAGTCATGGAGTAGCAGAGTAATACAAAAATCTAAATTTTCCATCAATGCAGAGAAAAATACCTAATTAAATAATGAAAATGGCACGCCGCATGAGAATTGCGCCGTGCGATCGATCAATTGTCGTTCCGAAAGAATTAATCTTACTTACCACTCAATTTCGTTGACAATAAGCACTTTTAATAAGATCTATGGTTGATGCGAAAAGTTTTTAATTACAAATAATCGTGCTTCAAAGTAATTTTTTTCCGTAATGGACTGTATAACAGACTGTGCTGCTTGTGGACAACCACTTCATTCTGGTCAAGTTCTTTTTGCTCTTGGTCTTTCCTGGCATGTGTAATGCTTCAAGTATAGATATGCATCCTCACTTATATTACTCTGCTTTTTTCATTTCTAAGTATTTGTTTTCTGTGAGTGTGGGGCGGTACTACATGAAGAGCAAATGTCACATAATGGAAAACCACTTTGTTTGCGAGACAACAACGAAAAACATGGAGTGAAATGCTACGAATGTCATAAATTTATTGCTGGAAAAGTCCTACAGGTGGTGGATCCGTTTAGTTGTTGAATATGGTAGTACTGGTGGCTAAATGTTGCCTTCTATTGGGGTACATGTGGATGTCATCAGTTTAAGAAACGTAACGCTTCTTATTCGCATAGTGGCATGTCAAAAAAAAAAACATATCTAGTTAAATCGACTGTTTTTGAAACCTCGTGATAAACATTCAAAATAAATTCAAAAAAGAATGTTTTAAGCCCTAACGTACCAACCTCGCTTAGGCTTAAACATTCTTTTTTGAATTTATTTTGAATGTTTATCACGAGGTTTCAAAAACAGTCGATTTAATGGATTAATTTTGGTCTACCAGCCAAATCCATCTAGTGAAGGTGATGGGCCAGCGTCATTGTACACTATGCCATCACCGCTTACACATACGCCTTCCTCCTTGCTACAATGCAGGGCTTGATGTGGAGCGGGGGTCACTGACGAGGAGGACGAACCTCCAAAACACCGGTGTATGGCCCTGGCGTACCAACCTCGTTTAGGCTAAAAACATTCTGTTTTGAATCATATCTAGGGCAATAAGCTGTCCACTGAGAGGAGATTTTTTTTCTTTTCAATACCTTGTAACGTGCGGAAGTGGAGCGCGGGTGGCAGCGGTTTTTAAGGCGCTCTTTGACACGAATGATCGACCAGTCGATGGCCGTTGGTTCGATCCCGCACTTAAACTTTCCATTCTTCCACAGTTAGTGAATTGGTACCGCACTTGTCTGGACAGATAACAGCACTGACTTGATTCGTCAGTGGTCCACAATGAGTCACCTTAGAGGCCAGATGTGCATTCGTGCGCCTTAAACAATGCTGGATGAAGTCATATCCATGGCGCGCACCCTTCAAGGATTGATCAGCACCGAGGGCTCTATTTTTTTAAATATGGGAAATAAAGGTTAATTCTTAGACTTTTCAATACAGTGTCTAGATCGAACTTGAATATTGTTTTGCAGTCGTTTCAGGCAGGTAGATACAAGTTCCACCCAACGTGTGCAAGATGTTCCAGATGTGAGTCGCTCTTTGGGGACGCAGAGGAAATGTACATGCAAGGCGATGAAATATGGCATCCGTCATGTGAACACTCTCTAATTACGTAAAATGTTGCAGTATTCTTTTTCTTGCCAGCTGCTCTTGTCTTGACTTATTATATCGCGTCTTCTCATAATTTTCTTGGCACTAGAGCAATAAACACTAAGTTGATCAATCAGAAGTAATTAAAGTTGCTTAACAACGCTATTTGAAGTGTATGCCATCAGACAAATAACGCTAAGCGCTCTGCGAGCACCTGGTCTGCTGCGATCGGGCCCTGTTTCGTTGATGTCGTCGCAATCTCATCCTGCCTCAAGACAACGCAAGGTTGCATGTAGCCAAATTGACAAAGAGGAAGTTGACCGAACTGGGCTGGGACTCGCTGGAATATCTGCCGTACAGTTTTGACTTGTCACCGTTTGTCTATCACCTTTTCCGGTCGCTGGAGCACTTTCTGAGCAAAAGAAGTTTCGAGACAGCAATTATTAGCGTGGAGGATTGACAATTTTCTGTGAATCGAAGATGACGAATTTGAGAGCGGTATTAATTTGTTCCTTAAGAGATGGCGGAAACATGTCCAGGCTAATTGCACATACTTTGATTAGTGTTGCTAAGCAATTTTGATTACTTATGGTTAGTATATTGGTGTTTATTGCTCTGATACCAAAACTTATGAGAAGATAAAATATTTTGATCTAGGTGATCTGCGTGTCCTAGCAATTCTTATAAGAAATTGGTTTTCAATGTGTAGTAATGTTTATACATAATATCTTTCAACCGCTTTACAGATTTGAACTATAAACTACACTATTGATGGAGTTTGGTGAAACGCATAATCAGTCACAGCACCAGTCCACTTATTCAGACCGCAAGCTTACTCGTTACCAAACACCATTCGGACACATTAGCAACATTACGCACTATGGAAATCAGTGCGCCTTCGCACTATAAGAAAACACACTCTGACACATTTTGAACTTTAATTTAAGCAAAGTTCGACGGAATCTGTAGAGAACGAATCTATGGAAAAAAAGGATTATACGAATTGTCTTTTTCTCTGATTAAAACTCTCCCAAATGTGGTACTCCTCCTTTAAAATTCGATGGCTAGAGTTTCGGCGACCCCGACTTTGTCAGAGCTTAGACGTATTATATCATTTCATATGTCATCATTCGGCTAATGTTGGTACGTAACAAGAACATCATACAAAACATTCAACAGTCTGGTTACTTTCAAAAACTTCTCTAGGACTGAGGTGTTGTGGATTTATAATAACCAAAGTGGTGAATAATATTGTATTACCCAACAATGTGAAGTCGTGCAAAAACGTTTGCGTCAGCCGGGATTTGAACCCAGATCTCACTCTTTCCGGGAGCGAATGCTAACCGTTGCACCATCGACGCTCGTTTTGCACAGCACTCTTATCATTAACGAGCGTCGGTGGTGCAACGGTTAGCATTCGCTTCCGAAATGAGTGAAATCTAGGCTCAAATCCCGGCTGACGCAAACGTTTTTGCACAGTACTCCACATTACTGGGTATACTATAACATCATACCACTGCAGGTAGCAGTCAAATAAAAAGAATTCTGGCTGATTATATTGTATTAGTTTTTTTTTGTGCATACGAGATATCAACCAAATAATCACATAAAATTTAATATAGTACGTCAACGTTCTGACGAAGGCTCTATCGCCCAAACGTTAGCCATCGAATTTCAAAAAAGGAGCACCAGTTTCGTTAGTCAATCAAAGAAAAAGACAGCTCGTAACAAATTTTACGTTTCCATCACTCATGCCGAAATTCGGAGAGAGTCGAACTTTTGATCTCAATAAGCGGGATTTCGCCTAGTGTAACGTTTTGTGGAGGTGAGGGTTAACTTGACTCTCAACATTTCAGAGGTCTTTTTTGCTGAACAAAGCTTTTCCTAAATGGAATTCTAGTAGTCATTCGAAGGCACAATCCTGGGCAATTTTAGAAGTGTGCTTGGTATTTGAAAAGGCATTTCTTAGTACGTTGTAGCAACGAAATCAAAATTGTGTTTCACACTCGATTTGCTTTCTTTACTCGACTAAGTTCTGTGAATATCCTTTTATGAGACTATACTAATACTACACTAACACTTATCCAATTGCACAAATCTCGACGACTCCGAAGCTAAATTTGATTTTTGAGAAGAGCTTCATAGCACGTCAAGAGAGCGAAAAGACAATTATGTTTTACTTTTGGAGTCTTCTTTGCACATAAGACTCATATCTCATGAAAAGTATATGAGCCTGTAAAGAAAATTATGTAGTATCAGTGTGATAAAAAAGTCTAAGGTTTTCTCGAACAAAAAAGAAAAATCCTCATTAAAATACGAAAAGCTCTTGCCCTTTGCCAAAACCGATCAACCGCCATTTGCGAAGGGTAATTGAAATGGTATCCTCGAATGCATTGTTGACAATAGCTGTGTCGCGCTTGCGTCCAGATTACTTGGGTTCAGATCTTTTTTTTGCCGTCAGTTTTAGGCGATTTCAAAGGCAAAATATCATTTTGAAAATATGATTCCTCTTCCAGCACTAATCTTTTCTGTTCGACAAAATCAGTTTTTAACAATTTAGTTGAAAATAGCCATGCGTTCATGCTTTGAAGCCTGAACTAGACACGTTTTCTACCCGACAACATCGAGAAGAAAACTGGCAAACTTTATTTAGAATTGTTTGGAAAAAGCGATCATTTTCGTCTAGCAAAGTGTTGTATATGGATCTTAAGTCTTCGGTAGAGATCAACTCCATTCAAAGCGATTAAAGTATGTAGCGTTTGTATAGTAAGTATTTCCAGCCTTCGGCGAAAAGCGCTTCATTATCGTCATGCAATGAACCGAAATATCATTCAACATTTGGACAGCATCTTACCTATATGTATCTTCTGCCAGAAGCCGAGCAGACATATTTACGGCATCCCATCACAAATCCAAAGGAGCCAAACGCACCACAATTCCATGTTCCTCAAGGCAAGATCCTTTTTATCATTGAGACGTTTACGTAGTACTGAGAAGGCAAATTTTTTTATGTATTAGATTCCCAATTACCGCTTTTCTTTCAGGTCCTATAAAGATTCGCAAATCTCAGGTTTCTTTGCTCAAGACTGGAATGCAACGATTCAGTGAGTGCAATTTATTACCGGGCTTCTCGAAGCGCTTTATTGCACTGAAGCTCAAGTTTCTTCACAGTAGTTCGTAGTGCATCTTTTTATGTCAATTTCATTTAGCGGAAGATCTCGAGAAGAATGTTCCTCGGCCGAAGTTCCCTCATATGGACAACGAGGAACCGATTGAAATGGCACATTATCCAGCCGGTCACGCACCTGATCCTGACAATTTATAATTTTTTAACGATGTTTCTCATGCCAGTTTACCACTTTCTTTAGTTAAATATGTGCTTTTGACGTATCCGATCTGTCGTGTTTCATCATTTATTTTTACGAAAAACAGTCTGACTGTCCTGTTTCCTTCTCCATTCAGCTTCCTGCCATTGAACGAGACGACTTTCCCGCTCCCCCTTATCCTTATGCTGTTGAAGGTTAATATCTAGTTTGCAGTGATGGACATCCCGATAATGTTGCTTAAATAGGCAATAAATAGGCGGTTTTTGTAGAACTCAAAAGACGTCTTTCGTCATCTTCGATAAAGAATGAGATTTCTGATGATGAGTTATCTGACAGTGGGAGAATTGACGAGGATAAATCAAAGAAGGTGAAAAATTTTGTTGTTTTTTGTACATTATCTACCATTTTGGTATTGAATATGCTCGATCTACCATGTTCGCTTTCTCAAAAAATAGTCGGATATGTACATGTATATGCACATTAGGTATAGTGTACATATACATGTATATATATATGCACATATCTGTGCGCACTTGTATTCTAATACATGTTCATTTATGTACACATATCTATATATGAATATATATGCACATACATACGTATGTGTATATGTATATGTACACATTCACATTAAATTCATGTACAATGAATGTCACCATATATACGTATGTATTACATATGTACGTATGTACTACATTTGTACATGATCATGCAGACATTTATATATGTATGCCACCACCTGGATCACCTATTATCCCGATGATTGCTGACAGACTCGATCTGTTAACAATAATAATTCTATTTCTCCCTATCCCGTGCAGGAGTATCTCAAAGGGTCCTTCTTGCGATGGTACTTCGTTGAGCATCATATCTCTCATAAGGTTTTTCGTGAAGAAATCGCGACATTGACTTGGTGGTCATCTTGTGATCGCTTGACACTGAAGAATTCAGTCGCAAATGGCTTTCGTCCACTGATTGTCGTTTAAGCGCATTATGAGCGGCCCACTTTGTTTCCAATAGCGTGGCGTATAGAACGGCATCTTTAAGTTCTGATCGTTGACATAGGTCAGAACTTCAGATGCTTCTCTCATTTGTGCGATACGGGATACCTTTAGCGTCTTCCTTTCCATTACACGTTCAGCAATTCCAAGTAATCTTTCATCCTGCTTTGCGTAGCGACCAGGTTTCCGCTGCATACGTTACGGCAGAGATAACCGTTTAGTCGAATAGGTGGGCACCGAGTCGGATGTTCTTCGTTCCCTTTATTATATCCTCGATGCTCTCAAACAATCCTGAAGCCGATCGCTTCCTACTGCACAGCTCTGGAGTTAGATCGTTCACATGTTGACTTCCCGACCTAGTCAAATGTAACTGGATCATTCGGAGATATTCTTACCTTTGAATGTGAATATCGAGTTTTAAGCTGATCCGTTTCTTGTAAACATCGTTTTAGTTAGATTTCGTAGGTGACCAATCTTTCCACACGCGTTATCAAAATCAGTCCACATCCATTCCACTTGGCTGATGCTTGGTTTTTCGAAAACGATGTCATCTGCCAAGTAAAGTTGGTTCGATTGTCGGCTGTCGAATTTCTGTCTCTTTGAGCCCTATTTTGATTTTCGCATGACGTTTTGGAGGGTAATTAGAGAAAGATCTTTAAAGTGATGCGCCTTGTCCAATCCCTCTTCTTATGTTGAACGTGATATCGTCATACCATGGCGAAACTGTTGTTGCACTATCTTTAAATAGCCCACGATGGACTGTCATGCACCAAGTCGGGGTGCGCTCGTTGTCCATATCTTCTGTGACTGCTTCGATTTCAATTAAACCAATGGCCTTCAGATCGATGACAACGAAACGGAGCGATCTGTTGTACTCAAACTTCAGTCAGACTTCTTTTCGTGTGGAAGTGGTCTATTTTACTAAATCCTTTTCAAAACCCTGTCTGTTTTCGTGGCTTTCCTTCGTCCAGCGTTCTGTCAACTCTATTTAGGATTACGCGGATAAAGAGTGTATAGACGGCGGACAGAAGACACATTAGGCGATATTTACCAATACCGTGGAGGTCTCCTCTTTGAACAATGACACGATCCCACAAGTTTTTCATTGACTAGTAGCCTTGTATTCTTGCGCGTAACGAGTGAAGAGTGGAGTTAGTGTGCTCTAAAGAACTTGCAGAAGCTTCCGTCCTTGTTCCAGTCTTATCCTGTTTCGATCAGGTGTTATTCTAATCTTAGAAGTTAAGTTCTGTAAGTTTATCGAATGGATCAAAATTCATCATCAAACTCATTCTGATAAGAACGCCAGCGACGCTGGCACCTCTGCTATCTCATGTTCCAATAAAAAGTATCTTCAGTGTCATGGAGAGCGTGAAATGAGTGTCATCTTCTCACTCAGCCAGGCCGATAGCGTCGTACCTTATCCGCCTTGCTTGAAGTGATAGATCTTCTGCAAAGGATTTTTATGCAAGAGTAGTGCGCTGTAGAATGCAGATCGTCACCTTAATCCGTTTCAATTCTGATAGCCTATGTAGCCCTGGGAATTTAGCAGCTTTTTCTTCCTTGTCTTACCTTCCGCTGCCATACCAGGGGCGCGATTAGGAGAGTGAGGCCCTTTTTCTAACTGTTTTTAGCACTTATGCGACGCCATCTAATCTCTTCAAGCATGGTTCTTATATAATGAAAGGCATTTTTTTAAACAACTTTCACTATGTCTTGTTCAGTTGTGTGGAGAGGGATCTATAGCTAAGAGTTCATGACACCTTTTGGTCTTCTTTGCGTCAACTTGCATGTTTTCGTTTGATGCTTCTCTACTATCTTTACATTTGAATAACAGATGTCAAAATTTCGTAACGTGCGACCACTTGAGCGCTCTTGCAGTTGGAACCTCTAGTTGTGATTTCAGGATTTTTAAATTTGAAATAAAATAGCTGGTCCGAGAAGAAGGAGTAACAGCCTAGGTTTATTTTACAAAATAAGGAGTCTAGAAAATTTGATGATGTTATGCGTCTTTTCTTAGTTATTTAAAACAGGTATTTTCAAATATGGAGAGAGAGACGAAGGAATGGGTCTTTTCAGACAGTTGAACAACTGGAAAAATTTGACGATTCTTCTAATGCACATATCATTAAGCAAAATA